TGGAGATTAATTTTGCTTAAACTTGAGTTTTCATAGAAACTTTGGAAATCGTTTAAAGGCGATAAAAGTGTTTTTTGCTTTTGAATGTTGACAAAAGTGTAAAAGTTGAGTTTAAACTGGAGATTTACGGTTTCATGAATTTCCATCAAAGTTGTGTGTGAAAACGAGTGCAATGTAAAGGAATATGCAAAGTAAAGTTTACTTGAAATGGGAGTAAATAAATTTCAAGTCGAATAAATTTTCTTGTTTTGGAATAGTTTTTTGCTCTCTAAACTTTTGATTTCTTTGCACAAAAAATGAACAAAAGTTGGACAAAATATTCCTTGCATCGGCATAATCATAATTAAGACTGATGAATCTTACATGATCATCATCAACAGACTCACTGTAAACACTGTTTAGCCTTGTTCAAGTTTTTCTGATAGAAATGAACTTTTCCCTTTTCCTTTTGTCTGTTTACATTCAACCTTTTCTTTTCACTGCAATGTTGATGTTTGTTGAACTGTACAATTTAATTCGACGAATAGCTTCAGTTGTTCAGGAAACTCAATTCAACCAAAACAAGAAACTGCAAAAAATAGATAAATTTGCATCTTTTTCCCACCCACAGCTGATTACCATTAACATAAATCTTTTATAATCTTCTTCATATTGAAAGCAAGAATAAATAAGTTGAAAAAATCGAAAAATTCAATTTTATTTGTTCATGAAATTTCGACATGAATTTGTACCGAATCTTAACCAAATTTGGACAATCGCTAAACTAAATGAAAAGTAGAGTTAAGATGAAATTGAAATGAATCAATTGAAAGAAATCTGTAAAAATGAGAAAATAATGACAACATTTAGAGATGAATTTCACTGAAAAACAATTACGATTCAACTCGATTCAATGATAAATTGCTTTTTCATTGGGAAAAGTGAAAGTTTGTTGAAATAATCGCGATAAGTAAAAGACTTTTCGTGATTGATCTGTAATTGAACTTTGCTTTTTTACCATTCGATGTTGAGTGATAGTTTAATCATGCTTGGAACTAGTTTCATCATTTCTTTTTCCTTTCGATAGTTTTTCAACATTTTGTCTCTACTGACAGGAATGAATCATGTTTTCCATAAATATCTCATGCCAATGTATCACTTCAACTTGGATTTTTGAAATTGTGAGCAAACAGTGTTACTCTTGCTCGCACTGCGATTATTGATTACAAAAGGCTCAACATTTGTCTGCTTTATCAAACTGTTGACACTTTGTCTTCAACCTTTCATCAGTTGGTCTTTCTTATATTTCAATCTGAAAAGGTTTCGTTTTTTTTGCCAAGTTCACTCTCAACAGTAGATGAAAATAATCGACAAAAATCCATTGGATTCCAGATGAAAGTAAATAAGATGAAAATCGTTGAACCTTGAATGGCAGCCAGCGATTACAATTATTGACTTGAATTTCGTTCTTTGTTTTTTGCTCTTCTTTTGTTTTGACTTTAGACTCATCTTTACCTTGTCAATGAACTGCACTGTTGAACATTATTTGTCACTCTTATTCAGATTGTTTCAAGATGTCAACTCAAATTAAGTGGCTGTGAATGAAGAAAATTAGGAGGAAAAGTGAGATTTTGGTTGGAAAACAATTTCTGAGCAACCTTTTTGTCATCCAATTTGAGACGCTTTACAATCTAAACAACTTGAAAGTTCAAGAGCTTCAAAGTGTTTAAAGTAAACCAATTGTCAACTTTGTAGATGCAACTATTATAACATAATCATTATCGAGAAGTTATAACAATATACAACATTAAAGAAACCTTAATACACAGTAGTAGAGAAATTTTTAAGCTCGAAAGATAACCAATTTAGTGTATAACCAATAATCTTATGAATCCAGAGTAAAACGAAAAGTAAGAATATTCCCTTAAGCAGAAATCAGTATTAAGCCAATTTGCTCTACACAGGGCATTTCAGCTAATTTATCGATGATAAACGCTCATTACTCGACCTGTGAGTTACCGACTGAATGTGAATAACTCTCGAACACTTATGACAACCTAACGAAACTTGATGGGTGCGATTATTTGACTTGAAAAAATATGTTTTGAACTCAATGATCTCTAACATAATCTGGATCGATTTTCAAAAATGACTCTGTTTTCAAATAAAAATATGTCTGCCAAATCACAATATTTGATTCCCTGACCTATAGCATGTCTGGTTCCCGACTCATTGACGTTTAATATCTTACTAAGTAGCTGAATAGCCCTGTACTAATGATGATATTAAGGCTCAAAGTGCCAAAACCAAGAGAACTGTTGAATTGAAAAAAGTGTTCGATAGTTGATATGTGCCAACCACTTTTATCGATAAATAAGTTTCAGATTACTATCTCTTACGATCACGGAATGGACGAAGGTTTAACTGAAGATCGAAATGATCAGTTGACAGGAAATAGAGAATTTTTTTCTGCAAAATAATTGCCTTTTTCAGGTAGGGCATCAAAAGTTACATTAGTGAGATCCCTGTCGCAGTTTAAAATTAATAGTTAATAATGATCGTTATTTATTTAGTAATTTTCTTTTAAAACTTGTGTTAAATTGAATCAGCCATTTTCTCCTCATTCCTTGTGCTATGTGTAGGTCAAGATTGATAAGTCAAATGAGACAGAAATAAATACTAAATACTATAAGTATTATATTATCATTTACATCATGTTCAAGTGGGAATCGTTCACGATTTAGGTTGCAATAGATTATGTAGTTTGCTCATGTTTAAGGCATTATTCAATAAAATTCTTAGGTCACTTGTTGACTTTATTCTCAAATGTATCAGCTTGTCAAGATAAGCAAAGACGATTTTCCTTCATTTTCTTTGTTTGTATAAATCGCTGCGAAACCCTAATACAAGTCAAGTAGCAAAAAAAACTTAAGTTATGATTGGGGAATTTAGATGGCGCCACAAGAACGAATCATATTAGAACATTAGAAAAGCAGATGGCGCCACATGGCTTACAATATGCCACAATTTTTCTGCGAAACTGACATCATAATAGATCAGCATTTTGTTCAACATTTTGGAATATTATCGGCGTATCTAAATCCACTCCAAAGTCTAAGCGATGAAAAGGAAACTTGTCAATACACTTATGAAAAAGATGACTTGAAAATGATTTGAATTTATTTGAAAAGTAGATTTATGTCTCCGTTAGTGAAAGGGAAAAAGAAAAATCCAGAATCAAACTGATAATCGTGCTTACGGAGTCTTACTCGTAATTAGTTGATACTTTTATTTCAAAGCGATTTGTTGATAGAAAGGTTGAATCTTGTATGCTGCTCAACATTTTCAAAAATTAATGATTCCGAACAAGTTTTGCATCTCAATAGAATAGAATGCTAAATGAAAATTTCGAGTAAACATTGAAAAATGAGAAGTTTAATTTTTTTTGATAAACAAAAGCAATTTGATAGTCACAAGAAGGTAACAAAGATATCTTTTTATGGATTGAAGTATAAGCTAATTATTCAACAATCCATAGTTCAAAGAAGGAAAAGGTAGAAATGGATAAATCAAAACAATGAACAATTGAGTTTCTTGCTCTTCAGTTGCCTAGTAACTTCATTTCTCACTGATTTTTCGGTTCACATTCTCATTCTCTTCTGTTGTTGAACAAAAATTTTGATGCACCAAAAAATATAGTCGCAATAATCAAATGAAAGGAAATACTGAAAGACAAGAAAACATCAATAATGACATTGAATGTTGAGAAGCGACAAGAGTTGTAGGTATTGATATTGAATCTGTACAAGAGTCAAAAGTGCGCAAATGAAACGAACCAAGTGAATGTTGAAAGTTAATTCAGTTTATTAATGCCTGTGAAAAAGAGAATGAAAGAAAACTGGAAATGATGAAAATGATAATGAAGATAATTCTTTGATAAAAGAGACTGAATAAAGTTTTGGAGGCGAGAAGGTCAACAAGGAATTGTGAACATAATGCAGAAAAGGAAACAATAAAGTAATAACAGAAAACATCTCGAAGAGCAAGTTATGGTTAAGCAACGAAAATGTAATTTACTGTGATTATGGGTGCAACGAAACTGAACATTTCAACACTAAACGAATTGCGAACAAAGAGTAAAAGAAGGAACAAAAAAATGAAGTAAATTTACACTCTATTATCACAATAATCAGTTGTGATAATCAGACTTGTTCTGTTCTCAACTCCGTCAACAGCTTTCAACTTGCAACCTCCAGAATCACGGATCATTTAAAGCAACCTCAATCAAATTGTTGTTTATTAAAAATTGCATTTCAATGCTAATTGTGATGAAATATTACAAGCCAAATGAGCTTTTCTTTCATCAACAAAATGAACACCAAAATACAGAAGTAAAACAAGAGATAAGGAAAAGTAATTTTCATATTCTGAACATTTTCCTCTTCTGTAACAATCTATTACATTAACATGATTAGCGTCATTATACTTTTGATTTGTATTAACATTGTAATAAACTTTGATGAGTTTGGGAAGCTGCAGTCAACAGAACACGAAGAATACAGAAAAAAAAACAAAAGAAAAGTAAAAAATCGCAAAAAAAAACAATTTTCAGTCGAGTTTTGAAAAGAAGGAAAAAAAGATTGAAATAATTACAAAACATAATGACAACTAATCTAAATTGTGTAAAGTTATTTTGATATTTTTGTACTTTAATGAATGTAAAAATTGAGTCGAAATGAGCAGAAAAAAAGTGAAAAACTTTGCATCAACATTAAATTTCTTTATTCATCTTCTGGCTGGGAATTTAGTTATAGATAATTTTTTGTCATTTGCTTTTAAAAGCAACTTAGTTGACTGGGAATGGAGTTTATCACAATCCAAGTACTGGGAGTGAAAGTTTATCTAATGACGAATTTTATTCATTTTTACTTTTAAAATGTCTTTAAATGTGTCTTTATGATTGACTTTTTCAATTTCAATTTGGACAAATGAGATTTTAATAAAATCGTTTATCTTTTCAGGTTTGCTTGGTTCGAGATTGGAAATGGTCAATTCAAGGATGCCAATGATGAATAGTCTGATGAAAATTGAATCTATTTTCTTATTGATTTGGCTCAAATATTCACCAGGTAGGAAAAAGTTTTTTTTCTTCTTTTTAATTTAAGAAGTTTCTCTTGAGAACAAAAACTCGAGGAAAATGGGAAAATGATTCAAATGAAGACTTTTCAGGATTGACATGTTTTGCCCACTAAAGCTGGACAAAAATTTGAATATTCATAAATCGATAAAGACGAAACATAAGATTTTTCTTGAAACCTCTAAACTTGTCAATTCGAAGTGTCACTGCTAATGGACATTTTCAATTCAATTAATCAAATTTGTTCTAATTGTTTCAACTTGTGTCTTTATTGAAATACATAATTCAGCAAAATGGTTGCTTGTCTTTTCAGTTTTGTATCACATTTGGAATTCAAAGTTGAAATTGTTTCTTCATTTAATCATAGTTACTATGGAAATTTGTTTTCCTTAATTTGATTAAACAACAATTTATTTTTTTGCACTTAAACGATTAAATTAGTTTTTCTGATTTGAGAAAAGTTGAATTTGCGCTCGCTTCTTGTTTTTAGCCCAGTTTAATTATAAATCAATGATGAACAAAAATTAATAAAGGAAAAAGTAATGAAGGAATGAAAGAGAGATAAAAATAATGGAGAAAAATGTTTGCAATGTAATTATTATATCAAATGGAATCATCAATCATCATCATGTTCATCATTTTTATGTGAAACAGAGAGAGACAGAAATCTTAATTGACAAAGATGATTGTAGTTAATTGATGATTATAAGGCTTTGTGGACATAATTCAATTTGAATTGCTTTTCCTCTTCATACATCAGATAAATGATAAAATTCAATTGCGAAAGAGAAAAAGAAAAGGAGAGGAGAAAAAAATCTTGATAGGTTTCACCTTTTCTAATTAGACTTTTAATAATTGAAACTTTTGTTATTCCCTGAATAATTTATTCAAATTGTTTATAACCAACGAGAACTGATTTTGTGTTAAGAAGCAATTGCTTACTGGCAGAGAAGATCGATTTTTAAAAATCGATTTCGCACATTTGCAATTCTATTCTACTTCAGCTATCGATTAATCGAATGTGAATCGATTAAATACAATCATAGAATAATCGATTATTGTGAGAATTTTGAGAAAAATCGCAAATCGATCAAAAAGTCTTGGATCTTTAATGTTTACCAATAATTTTCATTGGTAAAAAACGAGTTTCAGCTCTTTATCGACAGTCCTCGCTGATAACTTTTCCATAGACCTAAGCGATCTCTTATGCAGAAACAGAAAACTTTATCCCCCAAAATAAGAGTATTTTCTGAATGCTCATTGAAAGATATACCAGAAAAATGAGCTTCATGAAAAATCTGGTTTCACAACTGTACCAAAAGCGTTCGAATTTAAACTTTGACTCGATTTAATCAAAAACTCATGTTTATAAATTTTAATTTACGAATGGACTCAATTTAATACCCACAAAGTCCCAGCTCTTAACTCGAAAGTCAGATTTTGTATCAGTACTCCTTTGATCTGCTGAGGCTAATTGGATATCACGAATCACGCTACCAGACGAGTAGTGTGAATAAGAATTTTCCATTGAAGCGTAGTTTTTTAATGCCAATTGTATTCCGAGTAAAATTGCATCAATTTATACGTTTCACAGCTATTAACAATAATGTCGATTTTTAATCGGTCTTTTAATTTTCTTTCGATCCAAGAATCGATTTGATGTTCACTCATCCGTCAACCTTATTGTCTTATAAATTTAATCATTGATAACAAGCAAATCGAGTTAAAAGTTTATGTAACCATGAATTTCTGGTTTAGGAGTGAAATGTTATTAGAATCAATCAACTTCAATCAGGGATGTGCAATCATAATAAATGATCGTTTAGAGCAATCGATTTCACTATTTTTTAGAAGATTGTCAATATTTGAATAAAATGTCAATTTCGAATTTGGAAGCAAATTTTGCAAATTTTGCCCATCAAATGAACATTTTTTTGCGGTTATAAACTTGAAATATTACCATTAAACTGTGCGCATGATAATCAAGAGACAAATTTATTTCATCAAAGAACGCAAACTCTTTGACAATTGTTTTTCTCACTTTTCTCGGCTCATTTCGCTCTTTTCCTCTTTTCTTTCATTCCTTTTTCATTCGCTTTGTTATCAACCTTTCACAGTTCAATATTATTCCGTCTGTCTTTCTGAGCCTTTTATTAAATCAACACTTGCACAAACCTCATCATTAAAAGTTTAAAATGAAATTTGAATCACATCATTGACATGTTTTCCAATCGTAAAATTCAACTCTAATAGACTCGATATTTTAAATCGAAATAAACTTTTCCAACCTCAAATTTTCTCAAATTTCATTAGCTCAATCGACCCACTAACAAAAGCCAGTGATTAAACCAGTGCAAATGATATAAAAAGATAACCGTCATTTCTCGAGTGTCTCAGTTTTCCGTTTCAAATGTGAAAGTCTATCTTCGAAAGTGAAATACAACAATCGAAAGTGTCAGTTGATGTTCATTCCAACAAAAAATGAGTTAATTTGCAAAATTTGTTGAACCTCGAAATGGGAAAAGATTCAATTGTGAAAAATAATTCGAGTTCAAAAATTGTGTCCAAAAAGCTTTGATTTGTTTTATGTTCATCCACTGTACCATAATGGATAACCTGCATTTGTTTATACAACTTTTCACCAGTTTAACAATTCAATGGACTATTTACTTGCCTGAAACAACCGAAAGCCTAAGAGTCGACGGTAAGTCATTGTAGTCGACTGTAAATAAACATTTACAGTTTAATCAACAAACCGAGAATCAAAGAGGAAAAAGTTGCTCATAGTTATTAATGAACTTTGAAAATTAATTAACAAGAAAATGTTTTTTTTTCATTCTTCTTCTTCGATGAATGTTTCTCTTTAAATTAAATAATACAAAATGTAAACATGAAAGGTTGTCTAGCATGCATTAATGAATAACAAAAGTGTTGAGCAAAGTGGCAAAAAAAGGCGACTTTTAGAGCAACAAAAATATTCCCTTTAATGTGGTAAAGTTGAAGATTAATGAATCTACTTTTGAATTGAACTTTTTTTCCATGTTAATTGTTGGTAAAGTAAAGCACATTAATCAAATCAGCTAATAGAGTTGGAAACCTTTAAAGATGAACTGATGAAAAGTGAAAAAGTTTAATGGAAAGCAATGGCAAGAAAAGTACCAAAATTCAATTTGAGGAAGTAAATGAAGAGAAGACGAAAAAGTGTCGAAAAAAAAGTTTTGAAGAAGAAAAAAACTCTCAGGTGTTGATAAATTCATTATCGAAGGTTGGATAATTGTTTCGATTCAATTTTCGAAATGAAAGAGAAAAATGGTTAAATTGATTTTTTTGGAACTTTTTTTTCGCTGAAATTTTGTTGAAATGACAGCTTCATTAGGTTGACATTATCATGATATTCAGATGAATACACCATTATGATGAATGAAAGTGAAAAATGTTTCATTCATTAATCGTGAAAAGTTTTCCTTTTCAATTTCGTAGTTTTCTTTTTACCTTGAATGGCCATTTAAAGCCATTCAATCTCGACGATTAACAATAATTTCATTTGGCAATTTTTTTCTTCTCTTTCCATGAAAAATGAAGTGGAAAAGAGAAGAAAAATTTCTCTCACTTTTCAAGCCTCCAGGCTTTTCAGTTCCGGTTTCAAATGATTTTCTTTTCCCTTTTTTCTTGTTCGTTACTCTTGCAAAGAACAGTTTATCCGATAGCAATCAGCTTTGCATTATTGCAAGATAATCATTCAAAGCGTATTTCATGGAGACATGAAATATCGATTTTAAAAGAAGACAAAAATTCATTCCATTTTTTCACTTATCAAATATTATTAATAAATGATAAATTCGTATTTTCTTCTTGAAAACTTTGAACATGATGAAAGAGCATTTCTCCATTTTCTTCGCTTTTTTCTTCTTTTTGCGAGAAAAATTGATATTCTTTTGATATTCAATCGAAAATCGTTTCAATGAATAATGAAGGAAAGAAGAAGAATCACAATAATCATGGTGACACACTCAATTATATACATTTTATCTGAATAAATGCAATAAGAATATTACTTTATTTCTTTACCTACAATTCAATGGAAAAATTTCTTTATTCTTTTTCCCTTTTTTCTTCATTTTTCATGGTAAGCCTCATTTTCTTGGTTTCATTTTCATTTTCCTTCTTTTCCATTCTTCCTACTCAAATCTTTCCAAACTTTTCCATCCTGACTTGGAATGATAGAGAAAAGAGAGAGAGAGAAAAATTCAGTGACATTTAAATAAAAAATTTGAAATAAAACTTGAATACTTATGTTTATCTGTTCGAGTAAATTGTAAGATGATTTTTTTGTCCACAAATTTCGTCTCCAAATGCAATTGAAAGGTAAAACTAAATAAAAAAAAGATGAAACTATATTGGTTTGAATAGCGATATAAAAATGATGAGTTTCATCATTTATTTATTTTTCTTGCTACTTTGAGAAATGCTTCAAAATATTGGATCAACTTTTTCAGTTTGTCCTTCATTCCTTTCCATTCAAGTTACTTTATATCAACATTTGCAAGACGCTTTACCATAACATTGGATAAACAAGCGTTTCAACTACATATCTTTACCAAACCTCTAAGCCAAATGTTGATTCAGAAAATGAGACATTTAAAGAAAGCTTCATTTCAAACATCAGATTAAGTGTGCAAACCGATAATGCAATTTTCGAAACATTTTCTTCTTCCATTTGGACTAAAATGATCTTCATCAGACTCGAAAACTTTAAAAGATAATTGAGAACAAATTAGAAGCAATTTTTTTCGCAATAAAATTATTCTGTGCTCAACTCCAATCTTTCAAATCTGTTGAGACTTTTGGTTCAAAAACTTGAAATTTTCTTCAAAACAAAACTTCCAACTTCGACAATCTTTTTTTTCGTTTCATCGATATTCTAGTTGTTGGTTGTGGAAGAAATTTTGGTCAGATTTTATCTTCATTAGTCGAATCTATTTTGAGTGATGA